AGCGGTGCCGAGCGGCTCGCTATCGTCGCTCGTTTACGGGCCGATTTCATTATTGCCGGACTGTGTAGTTGATTTTATGATCCTAGCTGGCGGCGGTTAATGGGCGCCCGGATTCCGTCGACGGTGATTAAATTTATTTGATGTACCCGAAGGTGGCTCGCATTACGGGCTAATTGATTTTCGATTCGCGCCGGCATTTGTCCTGTCGCGAGGGTAATCGCGATGGAAAACTAATTGTAAGTGTCACCGGAGGGCGCGGCAGGTGGGGCCACCCGTCGAAATAAACTTTTTACCGTCCGACGCGAAAAGGTGTACCGAATCGAAATTCCTTCGATTCGATTCGATTCGGTCTCACCGTGGAAGACGGCGTCCACTCGCCCGAAAACAAATTGCGCGAACCGTGCAAATTACCTTCTAATTCGTTCTCGCGGAATTTTATTTCGCATTTCGTCAGATCTTTGGGTAAGATGGTTCGAAAAGACTTGTGCACTCGTTGTACGGTGTAGAATAGTTCTTTATTCTTCTGCGAACTGTCTTCGGACGACTCGCGGTGTTCGAGTATTCGTTTTTACACTCGCCGTTTGTCCTGGTAAAATTCCCGACAACCCTGATTGGCTAATCCCGCGCGTTGGGCCTTCCCAATCAGCGTCGCTCATTTGTCCCTTTTATCGCCTGTTCCTTACACCCTTACGCCATTCGTACGAAATATTCTCTCGTAGAGATCTTATCGAGAAGGTAGAAAGAAGGAAGGTCACGGCTGATTCGGATGCGAAATTGATTAGCACCTTCGCCTAACGAACTCTCCAAAACAAGACAAGACATCTACGAAAACAATCGCCCGTCGCACAGAGATTTCAAAAGAAGCTCGAACAATTAGCGAAAAGCTCGCAGGATGAAAAATGTCGTGCCCGGCAAAAGCATCCGCGGTCTACTAATTGCACAGGAAACACGCGTCGCTGCGAAAGACTAGGCGCGAGCTAGATTCACTCGGTATCTCGACGGAATTATTCGCCAGCCGGTGCACGGCTTCGCCGTATCTAGCACTTTTTGCTCGGCCCATCGGGGAACTGTCAGATGCGCCGCGACAATCGCCATCCAGCATATCGGCTCGACTTTTACACGGTCCGGTGTGTATCGTCTAATTTTAAAGCGATCGTCCACGAGCGAGCCGAATTCGCGGAGCACGAATTTACATTCCTCCGAGCTTGCCACACCAGAGCAGCTACGTTCTTCCATCGTGTGCGAACGATGCGATGCGGCTCGGCGCACACTTCTTCGCGGGCAAAAACGCTTCGCTCGGCTCCGGGCTCCCGAGGCATCGAAGCATCGAGGCTCGAGATGGACTGGGAGTGACGGAATTGTTCGCACTTTATTTCCCCATTCCATTATCCGGGGATCGGGGAAATCTCATGCATCATAAAAGAACGACCAGCCCCAATGAATTCGCCCTGCGAAGTCCATCTGGCTGAAAGGACCGGCCCTCGCAAATAAAATCTTTTCCACGGCGCTCTGGTTAGCCTCGTTTTATTGATTTATCGCGTCCTCGTCGGCGACGCGACGCGACGGGACGCGACGGGACCGTCGAACGCCGACGGATCATCTGGCGATTCCTGTTTCACGCTGCCCACGTTCCCATCGGCGCATGCGAGTGAGTTATGGTAAATTCACGGACACGATTCCCCGGCAAATATTTATCGAATCGTTCGACGGCCGCGCTCGGCCGGAAAAACTTGCTAAAAATCGAAGCGCGATTTCGATCGCGAAACGGAAGCTGAGAAGCTCGGATTTACGACGCTAACACGTTGCCGCTAAAAGCGAGGCGTGTGTCGCCCGTTGTCGCCGAACCGCGGACTTTTGTGCGAAAGAAAAACCGCTCGTGTTAATTGCAAGATACAAGAGCTACTGTTCCCGGCTCGTTGAAACCGCTATGGAAGAATTAAGTGTATCGCTGCTCCAATTCAATACTGAGATAACGAAATTTGAAGAAAAGGGCATTTAAATGGGCATTTATTTTGACATTAATATATTATTATTATTTTCATTAAATTCTTTACTAATGTATATTGAACCAGACAAGTTAAATATAAATACATATGTAATCAAAAAGAATCTCTATAAATATATTTAATATTAACCTGTATAAATATATTTCATAAATATATTTTTTTATACATTTAGTATTTTAATATCTCAATATTTCTCCAGACACACGCAAAGAACGCAGAAATGGAACAGTGAGATATCGCGATTAATGCTGTTGCCTTATGCACTTAAAGATACGTCAGTATTGCATTATCCAGATAATACTATTTCGTATGAAATAGTAGAATATCTCCAAATCACATTCTTTTTTTTATATATGTCTCAGTACTGAATTGGAACAGCGGTATCTTTGGCACCCATCGTTCGCAATGGAACAGCAGACAATTTTAATTTTGCAGAAAGATCCGCCGGTCTAACGATAAAGCAGAAATATCTAACGATATTTACAACGAATAATAAAATTAACAAAATATAAATTAAAATATATAACGATAAAGTAGCAGCTCTTTTATCCAGTTGAAATCTAATCACAGGAATCGCACGATTGTTTTATCGTCAGCCGACCGTAACCGGCGAACTCGTTTAATTGTCTCCGACAATTGGGCTGACAAAAAAGGCTGGATTCCCGAAATGCCAGGCTAGAAAAGGACTCCAACAGGTTCTTCCTGAAACCAGAAGGGCACGCAGAGAGAGAGAGCCGCCGCGGCACGAGGCAGTCGGTATCGATTGTTCTCGACAGCTCGGTAAGAGCAGCGTTCGCCGCCTCCCCCGGTGACTACAATGTCACGCGCGCATATAATAGTCGCTTTAATAATGGTCGCGCGCGCGCGCGAGGCTTCCGCAAGCTGGCGCCGGCTTATTTACATGTAAGCTTGTAAAGCGCGTCGGGATCGCGTGGAGAAACACGGGAAAGTTTCGCGGGAAAATACGAAGGGTGCAGGAGGGCGATGCAGCGGGCTGATTTCAGCGCGGGGTGGTCTACACGGAAAAATTGCGCGCTGACGCGAGAGGGACGCGCGCGCGCGCCCGCGCGACGGAAACGCGATAGAAGCTGTACACGCCGCTGCGAGATAGTTCTCTCGCGAGTCGCGACAACGGCCGCCGAGGACTCGGCGAGCTTGCAAGCCGAAAGCGCACGTACAACGGCTGCTCATAGAAAACTTAATGGAAGACGTGCCACGTGTGAAACATTTCACAGACTCCGGAAACCTCTCTCTCTCCCTTTCTCTCTCTCTCTCCATCTTTCCCTTTTTCTCCTCTCTCTCTCTCTCTCTCTCTCTCTCTCTCTCTCTCCCGAGGGAGGAGAGGCTAATCGAGCGACCTCCGATTTTCTGAATAGTAACCAGGATATTCCGCACCAGAGCTGCATTCTTCATGCCATCTCCTTGCGATTTTTCGCGAGAAGCCAGGAAACTGTTTTACGTGGGATTTTTGCACACACTTTCGGTACTCTGCTTATTCGAAGTAACAAATATATACAGCGATGTCTCTCTAATTGACGCTCGGACTTTTTTAATCCCGATCGGATGTCGAAACCTGCGTCGATCGATGGATCGTGCGAGAAACAGCCGAACCGTTGCACCGGCTGCGTGTTCGGCGATAACGCCGCAGTTTTTTCGTTCTTGTGCATGCGCCGTTCGTGTGCATAAGAACGATAAAGACTGCACGCGCAATTACTCTCGCTGGTAAGGTCACGGGCCCAATTAATTTTTATCGTGGCCTGCGGCTTTAGAGGACCACTTCCTATTGCTCGGAAATTTGATAAGTACATTCGGACGAGTTTCGACGAATAAATTGAACGCGACTCGGCCAAATGAACGAACAATCGAACGCGCAAATGGATCGCCCGCTTTCTACACTTTCTACACTTTCTACGTTTGCGGCAATTATTATCTCTCGCTGCGTTAATAATTGCATAAAATATCGCGTCCTAAATCGAGTCTGCGTTTCGTCGTTAGACTCGTTAGACTTGTTCGAAATAAGAGCGTGCCGAATATTTGACAGGCAATTATACAATTCCCATCGTTTTCTACCGTTCTTTCCCGATGAATGGACACGTCGTTATTCCCTGAAAAAAAGATACACAATCCTGTTACAATCGTTGCGAATCTTCCCAGCGTCGTAAGAGCTACTTTTACTCGTTTATGAATCGCTTGCTCCCGCACTATCAGAAATAAGCAAACCTCTCGATCGAGTTACAGTAACGTCTCCCTAACTTATTTCGGCTTTGCACCACGTTTTTATAATCGTTGACAATCGATAACTATAAAAATAAGTCGCAAGGCTCCTCTTCCAAAATTATCCATTTTAGTGGACAATCTGTGCGTCGGTAAGGGAGACATTACTGTATCTCGTGCGAAGCTCGCCGGCAAGGAATCCAATCGGTGGTCCATAAATATCTCGGAAAAAACCGGCGACCAGCGCGCGGTCCTGTCGCAGGGTTCATCTAAGGAATTAAACGAGAAGTAGTAACAGCTGGGTAGTTTCTTACCGCGCTCAGTATATCGTGCGGCAGGAGCTCGCTCGCCCTTTCGAGGGCCGGGAGTACTTCCGGCAATATTCCATGGGGCCGATGTAATACATTTCTTCGCCGGCTTCGAACGCGGGAAAAAGCTGGAAGCGCGCGAGACGAATGAAACTTCTTGCCGAGAGAGAAAGGCGGAGGAGAATCCCCGAGGAGACGGGAGGGGGGGAGGGAATGGAAGGAAATGATCGTCTCCGGAGTGCTCGAAGGTCAGGGGTGGTTTTTCGTCGGCGCCGCAACTGAGTTACACAAGTTCTCCCAGCGCTATCCCGCACCCTCCGAAACTGCCATTGAATTTTTAATACAGCTTTGGCCGTCGCTGCCGGCCGACAGGTGCCAGGAAACTTGTATTCCGATGGACAGAATACTATAATAATTTCGAAATCTTGTCCGAGGTAGAAACTAACCGATCGATTCCCCGTTCTTGTTCCAGAGCCACCGTGGTTCGGAAGCTGACGGGAGCTGGAAGTTCCGCTTCGATGACGGGAAGGTGAGTGCCCCAAATTGTTCGAGACTCTTCTTTCGCGTGGGAGAAACGCGCGAGCGTTGTATTACCTCGGAATTACCAAAGAATTTGGTACGTTTTCTTTTCATTTATTTTTTTTTTTGGAAAAGAATGCGGGTGAAATAACAGGGTTATATTTCGATGCCATATTTCACGAGAATAATTTCGTCGCAAGTACATAATACAGGGTGTCCCATAATTGTGCTAATGCCTGGAAATAAATGATTCCTAAGGGCATTTGAAGTAACTTTTTCCTCGGCGGAAATATTCTACGAGGCTTCGTTCACGAGTTATTAACGAAAAACCGCGACCAATGAAAAACGAGCTCGCCTAGCGCTAAACGGCCGAGCCAATCAGTGGGACTGGACTTCGACCGCTCGTTGCCTCGGCCCGCCTTGCGCCAGTTGAGCTCGCTTCCCATTGGTCAGTGTTTTTCGTTAATAACTCGCAAACGAAGCCGCGGATTGCATTTTCGCTAAGGAAAAAGTTACTTCAAATTACCTCAGGGATCACCCCTTTCCGAGTGTTAACATAATTATGGAATACCCTGTGCAGCGTGTATTACATACTGTAACATTTACAAATATTTAATAATATTGTAATATTATTATCATTATCGTAATTGTCGAAAGTGTTTCAGAAAGTCCTGAATACGGTGTTCACTTTTCCCACGAACATGGAAAACGTACTCTTGTTCGTAAATCATAGGATTTACTTCGGAATTTATCTAAAATACCAGAGCTAAGATAAATTCTTCTTTAAGGAATAGACGAGCCGAGGACTTCTTCCTGGACGATCTCCGAAACGTTTCGCAGTATGATATAATTTGTAGCATAGCTGGCTTCGAAAGTGTTGGTTCCCGCGAAGATCGGGCGAGCCCGAACGTCGATAATTCTTCGAGGATCGGGCAAATTATTGAGCAGAGACTTCCCGGTGGCAGCGTAATTCTTGGCGGAACGGCGTTCGCGGTTCCGACGGTATACATTTTCTGGCAGAGATAATAGGAACCGCAAAGCTGTCAGCTTTCACACCGCGAGGGAAAAGTAGGATAGAAGTATAGCGGTGTACATGCAGGATGGAAAACGATCTTCGGCGCGGCGAGAGGCGCGGTGGTTCGGCTCGTTAACCAGCTCCGTGCTCCAGGGTCAAGTGAACAGCGCGAAGTATTATATTCCCCGGCAGTTCCTCCTGTGTTCTCCGACAGAACGACCTCGATAACACACCGGTTCGGTGTTTCTCGGGCAGCGTTTCGCGCGCGCGCTGCAGCTCCCTTTATCATTCGTTCCGAGCCACGGATTTATTTCGCGATACCTTCGTATCTTCTCGGGCTCATTATCAAGTCCCTCTCTTCCCGCCGCACCCCGCGCCCCGTCCCAGCCACAGTCTTCGGAGCGAGATTCGTCGTTCCTTTGTCCAAGGGATAGGAGAGATCCCGTGGCTCGATTTATGAAAGCGAGCGATATGGGGGTAAGCTTCCCCGGTTATTTGCCTCCGGAGAGTTATAATGGCTCGGTTTACTGCATCCCTGAGTAACTACGTCCCTTTAAATAACGTTCGCCGGGGAGAAAAAGTGTCTGTAGCCGTACACCGCGGTATAAATAGACGACGGGCCGGCGGCGGCAGCAGCCTCGAAATCGAGTGGTTCCGTCGGAAAGGCTCTGTACAGCGAATTTAATGTACCGAGGCTGGTTTACTGTTACCGTTTCGGATTCTCCTTAACGGTGCCACGGCACCTAACGACGGAACGCGACCTCGAGCTTTTCCTTCCATCGAGCTTTCTCGACGGAGGCGCCGGAATTAAGCCGACAAGATCGCGACAATAATCTCCGATTTTCGAAGATTTCGACGATGCTTTGGGAATACTTTTCGGATCGGCCGCGGACGTTTAAATTTCGAGATCCTCGGAGCAAGGGGTTGAAGAATTAAAGGAACTCTTCTTCTATCCGACAACGGAATTGTTAATTCCACGGGTTTTTCTAACCGACGCTCGGATCGTGCACAAAAATGGACAATTTTGGAAGAGATTATTCGAGCCTTTCATCTCGTTTTTATAGTTGTTTGTCCACTTTTGCGCGCAATCTGAGCATCGATTAGAGAGAAATTACCGCAACGTTCGAAACGCCGCATCGAACAATCGTGAATAAATATCAGGTCGCGGTTGCAAATTATGTAAACGGTGAGTATACCTCGGTATTGTAATAGAAAACACACGGTTCGCGCGATTGTTCGTGCGATAGAATATTTTCGGCTGTGCGGAGTATGGTATCGCGTTCGGAACAATTGCGCGCGACAATGACGAAGAACATCGGGAAGCAAGAAAGGCGGGAAGAAAGCTCGAGGAATTTCCGATAATTCAGCGGCCGAGCCGCGGCTAAACTGACAGTAAAATTCGCCGCCGCTAAAAACCACGTCGGTTGGCTAATGGCTCTCCGATAGAGGGGGAAAAAGGAAAATAAAACTGTTTCCGGCCGAGGACGATGAATGTTTGTCGTAACTCCGCGCCGATGGGGTGCGGCGAAAATCGTTCGGCCATTTAATAACGTTCTTGCGGGCGGGACGCGGCGCGGCACGGCGGGACTGGTAGCAGTTCTTACGGGCGGCGTCGGAAAAAGGCTTCGTTTCGCGGGTATAAATCTGCATGATGGCGCGTATTTTTGCGGCGACGAGGATGGCGCTGGGCGGCCGAAGAAACGCGGGGCCTGGAAGAGTGATAGAGCGTCGCCGGGTTCATTAGACTTCCTCGTCGTTCCCGTATCGTCTCGCGTGCACGCTCGAAAAGGGCTGCGGACCCGCCCGCCGCCTGATCGATAGCGGCACATTATTTGTCGTTATGGAAGACACGTCGACCCGACCGACCGACCGACCGACCGACCCGCCGACCCGCCGACCCGCCTGGACCCGCCCGCTAAGAAATTGACGATTCGTATTCCTGAAGCGAACGCGATTAACCATCGTTACCTTTCCCTGATTACGCGCGCTCCTCGCCGCATACGGGAAACGTATGTCTTGGTTAGCTCCAGGCAGCTCGAATTAGTCTTTAGACAAACGGAGTGGGAACAGCGGAAGGGAGACCAGGCAAATGATCCCATTACCGAATATACAGTCTGTTTTAGAGCCTGCGCTGACCGTCTCGTTAATGAACCGAGCGGACCCGATGAGCCGACTGTCCGTCTCTTCGCGCGTTTGGAGATCGGTCGCACGCTCGATCTTGCGACGCCTCTTCCCCTTGAATTATTCCGTCGAATTAACAACCTTGATACGTGCCAGCGTGTTGATAATAGCCTTCTTTTTCTACAGATATGCAAGAGGCAGTCTTTTTTAGTTTCCGAGATCTTCGCCGGACGAAAATTCCATCGGATTGGAAATTCGATGCAGTAAGAATTTAATTACTTATTAAAGGACCGGGGGTTTTACGCGTTTATGAGAAAAATTAGTGGATCGAGCACAGAACAGTCGAAAGTTATTTATATATTATAAGGAAAAGACAGGTAACGGATTTAAATTATGATGTATAAAGAATCGATGGCCCCTGCGTTCGTTGCGTCGCGGATCGTAAACACCCAAGGCTCGATCTATTTACAGTTTGGGTTCGTTCAACCGAATTACCGCGTCGAACTTTTAACAGCTGAGCTCGACGAGCGGCATGCAAAAACTATGTGTCGCGCGAGAGGTTTTTACGCGTTCGCGACTTGGACACGCGATCACCTGTTTCTTCTATTTTAATGTCCCGCGACGTTTCGAACGCGGTCTCGAACAATGGGCTATGAACTTCGCTGTGTCTTTCTGTTTCAGCCACGGATCTTGAAAATTGAAATATTTATTAACCCCTTGACATTGCCATTTTCTTCGCAGCTACTGCGATTAGAAATTTTTCGATCGCGATAATTCCTTGGAAGGGAAAGAAAATTGATGCTTATCGTGTGCCTAAATGTAATTGAATGCTTAAATATTGGTGACGAGAGATTAGAATTTTATTCCAATTTTTTATACTCGATAAGTTATTGCTAGATCGCAAAAAATTTGTCGATCGCAGTAATTTCTTGGAAGGGAAAGTATATTGATGCTTATCGTGTGCCTAAATTTAATTGAATGCTTAAATATTGGTGACAAGAGATTAGAATTTTGTTCCAATTTTTCATACTCGATAAGTTATTACTAGAAATTTTTACGACAAAGGGTTAACGGTGATGTCGATCGTGCATCGATAAGGGAAGCGTCTACATTCTTCTTCCTCGCTATCTGTCCAAAGAATACCGCGCGCCTAATGCCTCAGAAATTGCTAAATAAAGAAATATGCGGCTCGTCGGTCCGAGGATCATCTATCGCCGTTACAGAATAATTAAGTGATTAAAATCGATGAATCGTCTATAATCGACGGGGTCACCGTCATTATATCGGCTCTCGTATAAATTAGCCAGCGCGGCAACGTTGTGACAGAAGAGGGGCCGGCACGCACGTTAAAGGATGCGATTTTTACAGGGACCGGTATACAGGGATGCAAATAAATTGTAAACAGGTTCCTGATGGTCGATATCCTTCTTTCATGAACAGGTTCTCTCGTCGCCATTAATATTCATATATCCGCTATATGAGCTATCCGTGTCGCACTTTTTCTACGATACTCGACGCGTCGTTCCACCGTAAAGGGATCGCACCAATATTTGCAGTCCCTGCAGCATCAACGAATGGCCGTCGAATCGACGCACTTTCCCCGCTAGCCTACAAAACTATGCAAATTCCTGGCGCGAACTCAAAATTTAGGGAAAACGTGATTAACGTTTTTTTTGTAAATTCTCGTAGCTGATAGAGCATCGAATTTTGTTCTATCTAATTTTAGTCGCTTATTCTTCTTTAAATTCTCATTTTTAAAATGAGCTCGCGAATAAGCTATGTGCCACGTGCATTAAACTTCGTCCACGCTTTTTATATGCTGCGGAAACAAACTACACGCTGCAGCAGGTTACTTGAAGTTCGATAACGAGTTT